GTTCCAATACTCTTTGAAAAATTGCTGTCTTAAGGTTTAAATAATTATCTATAAAAAATAAAATACAGGTAATCTCACGATAGTACTACATTAGAATCTGGTAGTGGAAATGACTCTATCCGTTTATGGGATGTTTAGACAGCCCAAGAGATTCTACCTCAAGATAATTGTTACAAAGACCTTCTTTCTTGGTTTAAATTGCCACTTTAACATCTCTCAATTTAAAAAAAATAGTATTTATTAATTGTATTCTTTAGTGAGACTTATCAAACTATACTTTGAATATGTCAAAATTTAATTTTGGAAGCTTCAGGAGCCTTTATTTTGAAAAGAGGAATTGAAAATTATCATACATTTGTTAAAAGAATCATTGAATAAATTTAATCGGTTTCTTTTGGAATCTGAAGGAACAAGAAAAAATTATGATAAACTTAGACAGTTGGCTTTAAAATAAAAGCAAACAGAATAAATATCCTTTTAGGTAAGATAATTTAAATGATCATCATTGTAATTGTCTATTCTTACACCATTTCACATAAATGATTGAATCTTTAAATTTTAATACTTCATTTTCAATTGTTGTAATAAGATGATTATTATTTATTATAAAAAGTAATGTCAACCAAATTACATTAAATTTAGAATGATTCAATTCTATAGGTTATCATAATTTATATTCTCTTCATTATAGCATGGTTAATCATTTCAATCTTGAAATACTTCTCAGATTTTAATGGCTTTGTACAACCCTAAACAAACAAAAAAAAAGGTATTAGGAATACATTTACCTTGTTAGAAATACCTAAAAAAGTTATTTCTTAAGTTAAGAATAATTTTAAAGGTGAATTTTTTAAATGGTAGTTAATTTTTCCTTAAAATGAATGAAAATTTAACATTTTCCTTTAGATTTTGGAAATTTTCAAATTCACCAATATCGATGCGGTACCACCTGCCCGACATTAGTATGGCTGGATTTTCCTAGCCAGTACGGCCGGAGCATGGATCCTCTACCCTACGGCCGGAATACGAATGTCTATCCGTTTATGGGATGTTAAGACAGGATAATAAAAAGCCAAATTAGATGGTCATTCAAGTGATGTTATGTCAATTTGTTACTCTCCTGATGGTACTACATTAGCATCTGGCAGTGAAGATAAGTCTATCCGTTTATGGGATGTTAAGACAGGATAATAAAAAGACAAATTAGATGGTCATTCAAGTGAAGTTTATTCAATTTGTCACTCTCCTGATGGTACTACAATAGCATCTGGTAGTGCAGATAACTCTATTCGTTTATGGGATGTTAAGACAGGAGAAGAAATCGTCTCTTCAGATAATCGATATAAAAACATTTTAGCATAATTTTAAACTCCAATTATTAACAACATGATTAAAAATAATGGTATTAGTTATCTATTATTATTTAGTTTCATCGATTATCACTATTCTTTTAATATCACAATAGCTTATATTTTAATCTTAAGGAGCTCTAATTTTGACAGGAGAATTTAGTAATCAATCTGGTATAGACTTGAGGACATTATTTAAACAAAGAGGAAGTATCATTTTAGAGAACGATATGAAGTTATATAAACGATGAAATTTGATTAATATTAATCATATATAATATATTTTCATTTTTCAGAATCAAC